ACGGCGGCCATGTTGTACCAGCTGCTGGGTAAAATTAATATCGGCTAACGTTATTGCCGTAGTTAATCGCTCGGAAGTTTCGTGTCTTCGCTTTTGCAGGAAACTCTACGCTCCTGCTGGCTTTCTACTGTATAGGTACCGGGACACTTTTCGCCGTTCTCCCACGTGCCATTGCTATACCTACGGTACAGGACGTGTATATCCATAGTATAGAAACCATAAATTTAACGTTATGCACTTCGTTCTCTCAATGCTTCCACTGTGCTCAGTATTTCCAACATTTTTTTAATATCCTTCCCTATAAACTCTACGTATCCTATACCCATTTACGACATACACACACGATGATCGGTATCCTCTGTGTGATAAAAAAACTTTATTTTTTTTTCATCCCCTTCCCACGTGCACGCTATCTACCTAAAAATATAAATATTTCTAATCGTACCAATGACCCAGGTTTCAGGCGGACTGGAAAAATATTCTCGTAAATCCCTGTGCACACCGACGCACCGATGCATACGTGGACAAAGATAACAAAAAAAAAAAAAAAAAAAAAAAAAAAAAAAAAAAAAAAAAAAAAAAAAAAAAAAAAAAAAATATATCGTACAGTCGCTACATTAAATAAATCCTAAAACCAGAACGTATCGACTTCCGTTTACGTACATCGGGAAGTCCCCTGTTGTATCTACTCGTGTTTCTATCTCGCTCGAACACAGCTACCAAACCTGCGTGCACCATGTAATTGGCTACTGTAATTCGAATATCGAATGGCGCGAATATTCCCGGTAACACGAAACGCCGTAGGGCGCACAAACTTCCTGCAGACTTTTGATTGGACGTTAAGGTTTAAAACTTTGAAGGAAGATAAAGAAGAAGAAGAAAAACATTCGCAAAACATTTTCTTTAGCACTTATCTCGCTCGGCGTACCACCCGACGTCCTCGTAGAATAACAATGTTGAATCGCGTGCAGATTCTCTACCGTACCAAAGGAGCCATACTGTCTCCTTCACTCGAAGCGTCCCCACGTGCTATCCAGCCTGCGGGTAAAGTAGCATATACGTTCCTATAGCTAGACCGAGCCAGAGATCCACAGGGGGTGCCGACTACCCCAAATGTCAGAGCTCGTTAGAGTTCGAGTTGAATCCCCCCCTCTTCCCACAATGACGCTGGAAGTTCGCTACGTGAGCGGACAGAATTATTGCAATTTCGAATGCGTACCGAATCCCATATTGGGATCCGTTCGAATTTTCCAGAACCAAAGACAGACTATTTACTAAGGGTTTCCTGTATATATATACGTACACCCTTTGCCATGCGAAATAATCTCCCGCGATACGCTAATATAGTTAGAGGGCACACGAGGGCGCATCGTTCGTCTTTACTGATTTTTCCAAACGTCCATACGTGGCTGCGTGCTGACGGGCGTCGTTAACTTTATTTCAGGCTCCTTCGCGTATGTTAATGGGGGAGGTTAATGTCTTTTGTCATCAATGATATTCGAATGTCGTCGGACAATTGGAGGTCAGAGCAAAGGGAACAAGAGGACAGGATGCCCTGGGTGAAAGTCACAGGAGAATATCCCCGACGCGTTCCTGGGACTTTGGGATCGTTAGCCAGTTATAGTTGAGGCCCACACGATACTCACTGGCACAATGTATAATATACAATGGGAGGGTTGGGCCCGGTTGCATCGGCACGGAGGTATATTTAGCTCGCGCGCATCGTAATGATATGTAGGTGTAACTCATTCATAAAACATACCCACGTGGCGCCCGGGAAGACGCCTATGACTCTGAGAAAAAGTACGGGCCTCTATGTGTTACACGTATATCGGAACCTCGTGTATCTTTAGGCTGATGCGCGAACACGCGGTTGGGCATGTGCGTCGACGTTCTCCTGTAACATTTTCATACGTAACAGGAGTAAACGCGGGACGAGTAAGAGACGCGATCCGAGAATTTTTCCTCGCGTATATATAGGTATACTGTCGATACTTAGGTATTGCCTTGTATACCTTTGACAATGCCTATGAAATTGTACGACAGCAACGGCCATTAGGGTTTGTTGAATATTTATCTCTCGTTTGACGCCAATTGTCATCACAATCGGACAGTCTTATTTAGGGTGCCCCCTTATGCATGCGTGCACGCATGCGGCGCACGTCTGCCTACCTACCTGCTGGTCTCGTAACAACGCGGCAGGAAGGACAGGTCCGATGTGAATTAGCACGATAAAAATAAGAGAGGCCAAGCGGGAGACCCGTTGCCATGGTAACCACAGGGTCTTCGTCTTCCTGGTGTCCTGTCGGGGAGCAGAGAGGGCCCCGGTACTGGAAACAGGAGAAGGAGACAGCTTGTACGCGGAGATGGGAAAAGGTTTTGCAGATATATACGAAGCCTGCAGGACACGTACGGGAAACGTCCTGAGGGAAGAGGGTGCATCCTCTATCCAGGTTCTGTTCTTAGAGGGTTGGCTAACTGGGTTATACAGAGGTTCTCAGTCGCCGTTACTCTTTGCCGATCCTTACGGGTTTACGAACACTTTTTTTTTTCCTATCCGTACCCCACGTACGCGTTGGTACACTTTTAGGTGTACTTTTGAGTGATCAATCGCAGATCTACTACCGCGTTACTTAATTATTTTTACTCGGGGCAGGAGAGAGAGAGGCTCGTGCACGGGATATACTAGAAACCCTAAAGGATACGCCTTCCACAGGGAAGAAAGGGTTGCCACGCCGTCTGTCTCCCTTTTTCCCCTTCACAATCTTTTTCTCTCTTTCGCTGCACTTCGAGTGCATCGAAAAACTCGTACTGCACTCTTCCGTCGTTCCTCTCTCAACAGCTTGCTCGCCCCTCGTCTCTTGGGGCACCATGGGACCCCGTGTAAAAACAATACTCCCTACGAATAAAGGGTGAGCACGTGGCTGCTTCCGATACTCCATGGCTGTTGGGGAGCAAAAGGCGACGAGTGACGAAACACGGTTCACTCGTGGCTTTCACGTCGGGTATTTCGATAAAGGGAAGAGGATCGGACTTTGGGGCTGTATCGCTTAGTGACATTTTGGGTTCGATTTGTTGGCACTGCTTTGACGAGCGAACGAGAGAAACAAAGGGAGGAATACACAAGAATTTTCGTTTGGCACCATGAAAGTTGGCACCATCTAGTTGGTCAATTTTAGTAAGGGTAGTCCCTGGCGATTCTGTTTCGAGGAACGTCTGTCCTTCTCTTACGCGCGTAAACGCCTGTAAGCATGTCTCTCTCGCACTCGCAGAGGGTATAGGATAATCGAAAAGTATAGGATTTTCATCGTCGCTTCTTCGACACTCGTACAATCCGACTGGGAATGCTTTTTCTGGTTAACGATAAAACTTATTGGATCTGCTTACGGGGAAACGCATTGATCTAATTCAAAACGAGCTCGAGGAATGATAATAAAAAACGAGCGAGAACTCGGAGAAAATTGGACTTCCTCCCTGGAAGTGTGCCATTTCCGGGCAATCTCATACTAAACCGCCTGTAGTATCTTGAGCGTCTACGTGTGCCAATGGCGTTAGCCGTATATAATGGTCATGGGGTTACGGGTTCTTCTCTATGGGAGTCCAAAAAGGAGACGGAGTGTAAGAGAGTGGTCGCTCGAAATAGGAGGGTACCTATAGAAATACAGTGGGTCTAGGTCAGTCCCTTTGTAAATTGGCTTTCGTTTCCACCGGACAGTCCCTTTGATGACATTTTAATTCTAAGATCGTTATCGCGCGACGACAGGCCGATATTTCGTGGCATTGCCATTTCACCAGCCGCGAGCCATTCTAGACAAAAGCGATGGGATCGAAGATGGGATAAAAGAAATGTATAACGACGCTTTGTAAAATGTCGATCGAAACCATTTCTGATCGTTATTTCGAGGCTGCTCCATTATGGCACTGGGTACGTTAAATGCGCCATGCCGAATGGCATTACAATTAACCACGTTGGTCCTACTGAGTGCCCGGAATGGCAATGGATTGGCTGGTACCTGACGGGAATGCATCATGTCTCCAGTCTGGCCTTTGCTTCTCTCCTTTTGTTCCCTCCTTCTTCATCGTCGTCTTCTCCTTCTTGTTTCACGGTATTGTATACCTTCTTGCCCCCCACCCTCCCCCTCTGGCCCACCGCACCCGTATATACAAGACACTCGGTATTTTTTATAACAAAACCACCATTCACTCGCCGAAACTTCACTTGGATCTAATTACTTCGTCTCAATTATCGTACGGTTATCGATACCGCTTGTCTCTCGGCAACCAGCAGACCAAATCGTAAAGCTCCCGCGAGCAGTGTGTATACACGATACTGGACCTTAATTATTTACTAATGAATTTATGGCCGTTGAGCCGCACCGCCAGTACTCGGTCGGGCATACCGTGGGCACCAATCGTGGTGAAAGCAGGCATAAGCATCCAAAAGATTCACCATGGCACCGTATAGTGGCTCGACTCTATTTTTGTGATATTACGAAACTTTCCCATCTTCGATCTCTCGCCGTACCAACGATAACAAAAAAAAAAAAGGTATACAATTCTTCGTCTTTGTCTACTTAGGTACTCTTGTGGTCGAGCTATTTTCGTACACCCGGTATTGCATATTGTCTTCAATCCCGTGTGAGGGTATAATTTTGTCTGGATTAAATCGCGCTGGTGCTAATGGACGTGCGATGCTGCATCACGTAGTGGATACGATTCAGAGAGAAGTAGGTAGGTTGGATCTACCTACTACCTACCGACGTGTACTTACTCCAATAGTAAGTACCATCTAAATACGTGGATGGGTCTTGTCGAAGTACGTTATATGATTGTATATATATATATATTGCGAGGATAAAATGTAAACCTGACGTATATAACGTTTTGGGTAGTACGTGGCTATAGGTGAACCCAACGCGTGTCTATATACACCGGTGTGTACGGTAGAGCATATCTATAGAGCGTCCCAATGCTTCGGGATTCAGTTACGTTCGGTGCGTCGCGGCGTCGAGACGTACTCTCGTCGTACTCCCGGCGTGAAATCGTTACTCGCGTCAGGGAGGATGCACCGGTGTGCTCTTGGCGAGCCTGACGTCGGCGTCGGTGATCCCACGGGCGCCGGGACGACGCGAAAGAAAGTCATGTCAATTACGACGAGTGTTGAAGTAAAAGAAAGTATAGTAACAATCGAAGGAGTGCTGGATCACTTAATAACGTACCGATAACAATATCAGTCTGTTCAAGTTTCATATAATATATATTTGTCTATTGAATATTTTAACGTGACCGTCGTGCCTGAGTGTTTGATAGAAAGTTTAACGAGACAACCCGAAGCGTCGGTCGTCTTGAATGTATGTGATTAAAAATATATATATATATATCCACTTGGTTATCCGATCTAATAGGATTTATACGATCCCACGTCTAGATCGGGATCTAGACGAGTTAAGGAGATCGTTAACTCCTGGTTCCGAGTTCACGTGTACCTCGTGAGTGAGTTGGAGAGTACCGGAACGGACACCAACCTATAAATGTTGTACGGCTGCTTCGGTAGGATGATTAAAAAAATATAAGACGGCTATCTTTCGGTATATTTGTTTATACGAAAAATTATATTTTTGCATATTGCTCTGTTCGCGTTATACGCAGTCTCTGTGAGCGTGTGGCACTCCTGTGAAATTGGTAATCGCGATCGTGAAGTTTAGAAGGTGACATGGCGTGCATCAGAGCGCCTAGATCCGTGCGTAGTTCTAGCGACGACATCAAGGCGGATTCTACACGGAATATCGTACAGGTAATGCAATCGGTGTTATTATATCGAAACAATTAAATAAAAAGTAAATTCGTAAATCTAATAACGTCGAGCTACGATCTCACTGTGCGACTGACACTGTTTATTTCGTACGTAGAATAAACATGGCTGCTTTGAGCTACCCGGAGAGCCTTGTGTTTGTTATTTCTCGGATTTGTACTTCCCGAACGGGAAGGGATAGGAAAAATAAAAAATGGCGGGTGACTCTCGGTACCGATAGCTTCCTTAGAATAATAGAGATTAGAAGTTGAGTGCTGACCCGAAATTATGAAGGAAGTCATCGCGCTTCTCTCTTTGCTACGCTCAAAAATAGGATTCGAGTCTCGACTTGTCGTTTGGTTGTGTTAGCCCCCCCTCCGCCCATCTCTGTCTCCCTTACGCTTGCGTCTGTTTTCTAGAGTGTAGTCGCGTCCTACTGCCTGTCCTATGTGTCCTCCATGCACGTGTTGTTGGGCTCTCTTTCAAGTCTGTGTCGTACGGTGACTAACACCCTTCTTCAATTTCGTCTCCTCGTCTACCCTCTTATACTGTCGTTTCGTATGTGTACACGTATGTATATATATATAGGTTGTGTATAAGCACGTCGTGCATTCACCCACGTGGCTGATACACATTCACGTCTATTGACACACTCGCAGCATCTTTAGTTCTCCTCTTTCTCTCTATGTATGTCCGTCAGAGACTTCTCGGCCCTCTTTTCCTGCTCATTGCGAAAAACATTGGCTCTTGCCCAATACAATAAACACCCTGGGATCTACGATACACTCTGAGCGAAAGCGAGAAAGAGGGAGGGAAAGGAAATCAAGAAAAGATGAGACTCGAATGAGACGTTAAAGAAATTTATTACGATAACCTATCAGGACAATTTTCTTCTAAATTATTAGATCCATTGAACCTCGTTTATATAAACTGGTTTATAAAAATTGGCACGTTACTTCAGTTACGATAAGTCATTTCGTACTGTTTACGTAGCGTATTGGAGTTATATTAATATATAATATTTGTTGAGTTTTATTATTATCGAAATTAAATTTTTTGCGCAATAACATTAGCGAGTGTAAAAAAATTAATTTTTATTTCACAGATATACACGGATTGGGCCAATCACTATCTGGAGCGTGGTGGTTTCAAAAGAAGAGTTACGGATCTACAGTCGGATCTGTGCGACGGCGTTCTGCTCGCCGATCTCGTCGAAGCTGTCAGTGAGTACAGGATAATATTATTGTTATAGAGAAAGAAAAATGTCAAAGTATTTCATGCTATATCTATATAGCTATGCGATATCATTTGATGAGTAACTCCACACGAAACTCAACAGTGCCAAAAGCACGTACCCGTTTATTATGGCTGTAGAGACAGTTAGTCATAGTTCTGGTTAGGCGTGACGTTCGTACGATCACGTACGTTATTAACCATGGCGAACTTGCCATACGGTAAAGCCACCCGCGGGTGCCTTTTACTCGCGCGGTACGTCCCGTAACGTGCATACTTAGCCGTACCCTTTCTCTGTTTGCAGCGAATCAAAGAGTGATCGACGTCAACCGGAAGCCAAGGAGCGCACAACAAATGGTGAGTTATCTGGTCATTTTAAAGCGACGAATAAACGACGCTGGAACAATACAACGTGTGCACGATGGGAAATTCTATATAGTCGGTACATCAAACGTTCCGATGGTCATCGATCGTGTTCGCTGTCAAAGTGAAAAAGGTACGTGTAGGAGCAGACAGTAGTGGTGGGGTCGATACGTAAAATCCCATGAGCCTGTCTACAGAGCCGCGTCGGACTCTTTTGGGTTTCCAGTAAATATAGAAAGCCATAACCCAGCCGACGTGCCATGGTTGCTGCGCGGTATGGTGTTGCGCGGGGTATGGTAAGTCAAGTCCCAAGACAGACACCCATGGAGTCGGCACGCGCCGCACAGCTGCAACTATTGCGACGCCATAGATCACACTCTCTCGCTACGTCGGTTTCCCTGCCTCCCGAGGGCCGCCGGACCCCCATGGGTTTTACGGTAAAACACGAGCGTCCATACCCCATAGAAACCCGGTCACGGGATCCTTCTCGCTCCTCGCGGGCACGATCGCTGGATCGGCTCCTTCGGCGAGATCACGATCCCATCGTGAGGGGTTGATCGATCGCATTAGTATCGTGGGCGTAAACCGCTGTCGGCCTCTTTAAAATGATAAAGAGGCCGAAAGTGCATCGCAGACGTATTCCGGGACGGCGGTTATAAGGCCTAGGAGCCTGCGGGTTATACCCATAGATATTATTGTAGGCTACGGAGCTTGCTCGTGTATCTTACGTATTACCGGTACTCGATAGGAAGTGCGTCACTCGAGCATTGTCGTACGATGAAAGAGGCTCCTTCGGTCATTCGTGGAATCCTTAATGATTAGATAGATGCGCGCACGTTCTAGGAACGAAAATGGCGGGCGTATTTGAATTGTCTTTCGGTGTCGCGTATCGTACGGTTGCTTATATCAGGCCACGAGGATCCAGGTCGCCTTCCAATTTCGTCCCTGGCTTGATCTCGGGTCTAGACCCCCCGAGTCTCTTCCCATTTTCCACTGACTCCCTCATCCTTTCCCATGGTGGCTCCCTCTTGCGAGGGCGGCCTATAATTAAACCCGTGCAAAACGCGAATTACACGTGGCTGCCCGCCGCTGCCTCGGCAACTTTCTGCCTTATTCCGCTGTCACGCCATTTCCTCATACGTACCCGGGCACTGCATAAGGGTACTCCATGCATTTCGCGGGATCGGCAATGTAAATCAGATGCATCGCGTTCCTCGTATACCCTGGACAATGTACCTGTAATTTTATGTACAGCGTAATACGGCCGCCTAATAGGGAGGACCGATAATAGTATGTTTATGTAAAGCAAGAGTTATCAGAACTTCCTGGGTACACTGGACGGGGTCCGTCCTGATCTATTTTCATTCTACGCCAGAGAAGCGCAGCCACGAGATTAGAGCGCTAGGAGGAGCAGGAGGAGAGAGCATAGCGTGTCTAGTGAGTCACGTGGGTATTAGTCAACGTGGCGCGTATTTCCCTAGTAAAATTTTCGACCTTAATTTATAAATACCGTGGGTACCAGTCGCGCCAACCCTTTTCCGGCAAGCGGGAAGAAGACGGCCGTACCGCCGTCTTTCGTTCGTTCCGTGGAATTGTAAATGATAATGTTTTAATTAGGACGAGAGTCCTAGTACGTCCTCGCGGAGAACCTCCGGACCCCTCGGTTGTCGCTCTTGTCTCTGCGGTGCCTCGAGCGCGATTAGCGGTTGTCAGAATTTTTATTCCCGGTGCACCCTGGGTCATTCTCAGGTATGCCCCAGGTGGTCTTCTACTTGTCTCGATTATTTATCGAGCGGGGCGGAAGGTAGTAAAACGAAACGGGGGATGAACGTGAACGGGGTGGGGGGATATCGTTTCGGGGGAGGCGTGGCTCGTTTACAAGATCAGGGAGACGGACTCTAAATCCTCTACTGAATATCCTTTCCTTCTTTTGGATTATATAAGCTCAGGATTCTGGACCACCCTGTAGATCTTTTTTATAACCATGTATATATATACGTACATATATATATATATCTATTTTCTATCTTCTCTAGGTAATCGTAAGGAAGCAAAGGTACCAAGAGCAAATACTAGACTTCTATCAGTGGCCGACCTACGTGACCTCACGACGTTCAATTTTCTAATAACGATTCCTAATTAAGAGGCGATCGGCCATCGCGCTATTTATTGCCATGCTTAATTACTGTATTTAGCTCCCTACTGCTCCTTGGCCGAGTGAACTATCCGCACAATGGCTATAATGGTTACCCAATAGTCTGCGTCGTAGACACACGTACGTGGAAGTCGTACCATGAGATTAAAGAGGGGCGGCGGCGGGGGGGGGGTGGAATGATAAAAACAACACTAGCGAACAAATTAAAATAAGAAAGAGAGAAAGATATAGGCTTCCACTTGCCGCATAATTTCCTGCAATTACACAGCGTCACGGTATCCGCCATTATTATCCCACAGGTATACCCATCCAATTTCCTCGACTGGTTAACAAAAATGCTGATCATTTTCCATTACCGGCGAACACGGGCAAGAAAGAGGCCAGTGCGAGAAATCTAAAGAAAAATAATGTTTTCCCTCCGAGGTATGAAAACAATGTTAACGATCCGAAAATTCCAATTTACCCAGCAGTCATTGTACTTTGGAAGATCCCACTGGGGTACCGGGAAACCTCGTCATCGCCATTTCGTTTATCCATTCTCGCATCCCGCTTTCTATCTCGTCCATAAATCGTCCGCCGTCTCTAGTTCAACGGAGCAAGATTCGAGAGACGGGTATACGTTCTCATACATACGTAGAGGCGACGTATGCTCAAACCCCACGAGACACACCTGACCCACGTGTCCTGTAGCGCCGAGAAAACCCTGACCCAACTGGCAAATAGGTAGGCAACGTCAGAGCCATCAGGGTGGATAGGTACCGATTTTCCCCTGTAGCCGCGAGGACTCCAACTTCCTCCGCTTCTTCTTCTTCTTCTTCGTCTTCATCTTCTACCACCGCTTCGCTCCCACCACCGTAATACATGGTATACCAACACACCCTGGAAACTGGCTCTCTTGATTCTCCTGACTCTCCTGACTCTCCTGGTGCTCTCGCCGTGTACGTAGAGCGTGGCTTACCTCACGGCTGCTCCTTCACGATCGCTTAGTGTCTCAGCGGTGCTCCTGTAGCGCGGATGCTCGTGTTATTCTCTATCGCAAGAAGAAGCCCACACCGGTGTCCCGAGTGCGCGCGACGAGTATTCGTTTCGTAAGGAGGCCCCCCCGGTGGTGCAAGGGAGATAGAAAAAAAAGGAAGGAGAGAGAAGGAAAAAAGAAGAAAAAACAAGGTACATATACACACTATATATAAAACGATCCACAAGTGATACATAGTTATTAGTGTCACCAGCGTTGACAGCGGTTGACAGTGGATCGTCGAATGTCATAAATAATAGAGGAAAGGATTTCAGCACGACCTTTCCTCGAGGAAGAGGAGGTCCGGTCAGGGTCGTCTTTTCGTCTGGACGTTACTATAAATAACCTACGCCACAAGTGACACTCATTACTCCTTCGCTCTTCTCTCCTTATTACACCCACTGTGCTAGACGTCTCTGATGCCGCGTGCGTCTCTGTCTCGCGCGCGCGATCTGTATACCACTCCGTCGCCGCTGCTCATCTCCATGCGAGGAATAATTGAAGGGAAATAAAGTTCGCGACGCTCGAACGAGCTCGCGTACCGTTAATACAGACCGAGTGCTCATAGCTTTGTCCTGCGCAATTATTGCACTTTGTTTACCTCGTAAGTTCCGAGCTTCACGGGATGTTTACGCGGGTCTCCGCGGGGAAAGCTCGTGGTAAATCTCACCGAGCAAAGGAATAAAAGAAAGAGTGTCGTGTGGACTGGCTTTTAGTACTCCACTACTCGAGTCGTACCAGCAATCGACACGTGTTTGAAAGACGGTCACGTTCTTGCGGTAACAAACTATTTCACATTGAATCTCTCGTTCTCTCTCTCCCTCCTTCGGCCTCTCGGCTGTCCTCCGTCTCGCTCTTACTCGCCTTTATTTTTCTCGCGTGCGATACTACTCGGCACTTACGTTACATACCCGAGTATACGTTGGTAACACTGCGCAACGTCATGCCGATGGTTCTTATACGTCTCTTGCGTTTCGCATTTGTCCGCGTACTCGGTACACGGGGCTCAAACCTCGCAGGACTCGTGCGCAACGGGCGTTGAAAATTACTGCGTCGAAAATATGTGAACGTGCATTTATTCGTTATCGGCGATTCTTCGTAAAAACAACGATTGAGACCCACATTGTGGACGTTTCGTCGGTACGTGGGGCGGTGGGGCGGTGG